ATTTTGAGACAAATGGTATCACCAAAAATCTAGAGCGCTGCATGAATGTGAAGTTGTCAACGAATATGTTTTTTGACCTATTCTTTGCAACTGTAAAGAGCTTATGCTGTTTGGAGGTTTCTATGAGAAGTTATGATTTTCGAGAAAATTGGCATTTAATTTTGGAGTTATCCCTAGTAAACTCGAAATTCATAACTTTTCACAAAAACGTCCAGACAGCACATACCTTTCACAGTTGCAATGTGTAGACCAAAAAACTTATGTACTTTTTTTGCATCGTTCCAGATTTTTGGTGACCTAACTTTGAAAATCAAAGCTGACATCTTCCTTTTCCATTTTTATCTCTGCAGTTAGTGTCAAACAGAAGCTTGGAATAAAAACAGTATTCGAAAGCGAAAGACATATTCTTTCAAAAAAAATTATGTAAGCAATCCATGAAACTACCGCAAAATTATAAATTTTTGAAACTAAAACTACAGAATTTTCGGACCGACCTTATATTTAGTTTTGGCCATTTTAGCAAAACTCTTATAAGAAAAAATGAAATCAACTACGAAAAATTGAATTTGCAGAGTTAGCATTGATTACTGTCAGGTCAGAGAATGGCTTCACTTATCTTACTGCCAAGCTAACCTATTTTTCCACCTGTAAAGAGTATCTGGGAGCATAGAAAGCCTGTCCTCAACCTTGCCAGATGGAGATGTAGAGACCGAACGACCAGTACTGCGCTGCAGCTGCGCTATGAGTGAGTATGGTAGTTAATGTCAACAATGCCTTTATATGGTTATAGAAGATTGAATTGAACTGAACTGCAGCGTATTTCGATGGTCAGGAAGGTATTACAAGCAGGTACGTGGCCTAGCGATGGGGCAAAGATTGGCTCCCGTGTCGCAATCATGTCAAAAATTGAGAAACCCGTACTTGATCGTAATCCCTTACTCTTTTATCGATACATTGACGACTGCTGCATCATATGTCCAACTCAAAGTGAAATAGACATATGCTTTAAAATTTTGAATAGCCAGTCCCTTAACACAAGATTCACGCGGGATAAACCCGATGAAAATTGGCTAGCATTCCTAAACGTTCAAGTGTCTTTATCTCACGGATCATACGTAAGTAAATGGTTTCGCAAACCCGCTAGTAAGAATATATTAATTCACTACCGCTCTGCGCATCCTCGGAGCTAACGGTCCGTAATAAGAGACATGTTCAGGACAGCAAAACCGGTTTCGTCCAATGTTGAACAGCGCAACGCATCGACTAACCTTGCCACAGATTGCATAATCTAACTGCTATTTCACAAATGGTGCACCAAGGCATACCTGTAGGCAAGAATGCAGACGATCGAAATGAACCAGACAACTAAAATACCGTTCTGTGTTCCATTTGTGACTGATGATTTCAGCAGAGCTATCAAAAATCTTTAATATAAGCGGGCCTCGATGATTCCGTCAGAGTTATAGATGTACCACCTCCTAATCTCAAAAAACAACTTAGCCGCAGTCGAGCATATGACAGAATCTGCACGACCGTTGATTGCGCCATCTGTACGTCTGGAAGAGCAGGCGACGGCATGGAAACGGGAGTGGTATGTCACATAACCTGTCAAAAACGTGGTGACCAGTACATAAGAAAGACTGGCGGACCCTTTGTGCACAAGACTTAAAGAGCATAGCATCTTGACGGCCTTAGAAAATCTGAGGTGTCCAACTTTTGGGTGCACATCGAAGGTTATGTCACGCAAACCAGTACTTTCAAGTCACTGTAACGATCTTATTGCATGAGGCCGAGTTAATAGCCCGCAAAACGTTGGAAGCCTTTTGGATAGCGTCCAAATCCCCAAAAATGAATCGCAACGATGAAGGCATTCCCATAAACAATGAACTGTTTTCTTATCAAACGCTATGTCGATTCTAATACGAGATCTTCTATAATCATACAAAGGGCATTGTTGACATTAACTATCATACTCACTCATAAAGCAGCTGCGGGAGGCGTGCAAGTGGTACCCAGGCAGCCGACTGCTGCCACAGCCAGCCGCAGAGCTGGCGTTAGCGCAGCCGCATACGGTAGGATAATTACGCTAACCGTCTGATACCTCTCCGCCGAGAGGTCTCCTCGCACCTCATCGCGTTGAGGTGCGATATCAGCCTCAGGGATAGCGCGATATTATCAATAATGTTATCAATATCTATATCATTTCAATCAGAAAAGACTGATTGGTTCTTATATATCAATATCTATATCATTTTAAACAGAAAAAAATTCCTAGTTTATTGAAAACCATGCAAACAGATACAAAACTATATACAAGCGACAAATCTCCAAAATTAAAATAAATATGATAAATATGATTAAGATAAAATGAAAATGAACAGATTTACGTCGCGAACGGATAATAAATACTATGACAGATTTTAGGGAAGAGTATCGTTCTGGCGCATATGTAACTACAGCCTCAATTAATAGTTATTGTATTATGATGTCCAAATTTGTAACGGAAAAAACTATTTAATTTGTCATTTATTCACTTTTGTAATTGTAATTGTTTGTCCAATTTTGGAGATTTGTCGCTTGTATATAGTTTTGTAACTGTTTGCATGGTTCTCAATAAACTAGGAATTTTTTTCTGTTTAAAATGATATAGATATTGATATATAAGAACCAATCAGTCTTTTCTGATTAAAATGATATAGATATTGATAACATTATTGATGATATCGCGCTATCTCTGAAGCTGATATCGCACCACAGCGCGACGAGGTGCGAAGAAATCTCTCGTCGAAGAGTTTCAGACGGCTAGCGCAATTATCCTACCGTATGCGGCTGCGTTACGCCAGCTCTGGCGGCTGGCTGCGGTAGCAGTCGGCTGCCCGGGTACCACTTGCTACGCACCCCGCAGCTGCAGCGCAGTACTGGTCGTTCGGTCTCTACTCCCGATCTGGCAAGGCTGAGGTCAGGCTTTCAACATCTATTCTGCACTCCATCACATAGTCAAACTAAATCCATTGCCAAACACGGTGTTTGGGCGGGCAGTTCTCAAAGTCTCGATCTTTCAGGAAGCCCTGAAGAAGGCGGACGGACCGCCGAAACGTTGGCTTTTCGTTCAATAAAACCTTGCTATCAATCTTGGTTAACATTTTTGAAGAACTGTATTACAATTTGAATCACAATGCCAAGGTTTATCCAATCGAGCACGAAGTCTTGTAAGAAATGAGTCATGAAAGTTCGTAACTTTGTCTGTTTCGCGTATCTATCAGAATACTTGCCTGTTTCCTTCAATGGGTTGAAGTTACTGGAGTTATGGTTGCCATCGAATGATGTATATCTCAGGCTTTAGTCTACAAAAATCGCCGAGTTACGAGCCTACGAAAGCACTTCATCATGAATTTTTCTCAAATGTAAAGATCTCGTACTTCTTTGAGATCCCAACATGAGTGTTTTATGACATTCTGATTGCAAAATATTGTCACTTTGCCCAAGGGATCCCAATGTATTGAATATCGTGGTTGCCTGTTCTTCAGCTGCATCAAATACCAATCGCAGCTAGAGCTCAAATGTATCTAAATGCTAAATTTAACACAACAAGATTCATTGAGCGATGTCAAAAATTTGATCACCGTGTTATACAACCGCTCACGAAGGATCGACGAAGTATGTGATCTTTACATTTTGGGCAAAATTCAAAGAAGACGTGTATTCGTAGGCTCGTAACTGCGCGATTTTTGAGACTGAAGCCTGAGACATGCACCATTTCGATGGCACACTCCCTTGTAACTCTAGCCTATAAAAGCGAGCAGGCAGTTTTTCTGACGGGTACGCAAGAAGGAATGCAAGGTTACGAAGGAGAAGTGCAGGCATAGTTACGAACGCGAGAAGTGCAGGCAAAGTTACGAACTTTCACGACTCAGTTACAGTTACCTCACAATAACTCTGCAAGAAGACCCTGTATTCCTTAAAGATTGCTGTTTCCATTAGCAGCGTTTCAGAAAACTTCTATAAGAGAAGTTCTTCCATTTCAAGATTATCAATATTCTAGGAATTCATCGGCAGACTTCGCAGCGTAAAACGAGAAAAAAATCAAAAAGCCCGCGCTTTTTGAGAAAGTTTCATAGAGTTATCTGATCTGCTGATAACTCACTTCTGTTTAGCAAGACAGCTTCGTATTTTAGAATTCTCACAATTCACCAGCCCTTCTATCTCCTCTGGAACTGCGGATACTTTATAGCTATCCATAATCTATAAAAAAAAGTGCTACCAAATCGTCCTTACTGGAGTCTACTGGGGGTAATGTGCGCCGCTTTAAATCTTTGCGAAGGTACGTCCGCAGAAAGATTCAGGAATACCGAAATCGGAATTAAGGATGCTCTTCCGTAGGAAGTTATGGCGCTGCGTAATTCGCGTGATTCGCGTGGATTCCGCGGAATTCTTGAGATGTCACTGAACTCCCGGAATTCCGCGACATTCACGGCTATTTTGCGCATTCTGAGAGTGGTATTGATGATTGGTACATTCTATCAGCTCTAGATGCAACATTTTTGCAATATCTGAGTATTTTGTGCTAATGTTCGTTCAAAAACTCAAAAATTTCAATTTTACATGTAGTCAAAAGACCAAATTGAAAAAATATTCTTCTCTGTACAGCCCGACATTTCGCGCAGAAGTGGTTTGTTACTACAGCCAGCCTCTTAGTCTAGATTTAGCTTTTTAGAACGTCAATTATGCTGGACATATTTTCATTGAATGGCCTATTGCGTTGTTCCAATCTTTTTTTCGTTGGTATGTAAAATCTATACAGTATCAGCGTTCTTCTCTCAAAAATAGGATAAACAATTTTTGAAAAACTCTTAACAAAAAGTCGGTACTCAGAAGAATGAAGAGCGAATTATGGCTTCGCTTTGTTCCTTTCTTCAATATCATTTTCCTGATTAGAGTATCAGATATGAGAGCGTGATAATCAAGGATTTTTGCATGTTCTTAATTTTATTCATTTATTAGGTACAGTTAGCGGTTTTATGCGTATTGCCCAATAAATAAGGGGTTGTTGTCCTTGGTGAGGATGAATAAGAAAGGATGATTTGCTATGAACATTTTGGGTTTGTTCATATTCGGTCGTGCCGTCAATTTCATTGCAAAATACGTGGCAGCAGCTGCAGTCGTTCCCTCTTCATCAACCTACAATGATAGTTAGAGACACTGTTCATTCACATTGAGAATAGCAAGAGTATGGTGTTCTGCAATGGCGGGGCCCTGACTGATCAGCCGCTCACTTGAACTGCAAAATATGAACGCCGGTGTGAGGAAATTGCTCGAATAAAAGCGGCCATGGTGAATTCCTCCCATCGAAGTGCATTTGAATGTAATGATTCAAAAAAGGTAGGAAATCTGGAAGATTGGGTGATCATAATGAAGGTAAAATCCAAGCTTAGCTACATTAACCCTTTCGGACGGTGGCAATTGCCACCATCAATTCAGAAACCTGCACTCTGGCGCAAGAGCATATTTCCACTACTCAATATTATAGATTGCTTCATATAGCCTTTGCCTTCCAAATGTCACTTTGAAACCCCATGTTCATTTGTTTTCCCGTCAGCAATGCAAAAAAAATTTTTTACAAGTGGATTGCAACTAATCAGTAACTTGTGCCGGCTTCAGCACGTGTCAGAAATCTTGTTTATTAGCCAAAAATTACCCATAACACTAGCAGAAAATTTGAGTACAATGTTGTGCAAGTGTAGTTGCTAACTGTTCGCTTGTCTACATGTATTAAGAAGATTTGAAAATAAAAAATAAAAGCAACACCAAAAAAGTTAAAGATTAAAAAGAAATAGTGTATAAGGCTAAAAAACTGCAAACTCCACTGTGATGCTAATCGTATGGTAGTAAGCAAAAAAAAACAATAGGAGACGGGCTTCTTTGCTCGCTTGCGAAAATTCGGGTCTGAAAGGGTTGAAGCTTAGTTTGTATTTGTTGTCTTCGGATCACTCTCCTTGAAGTGCGGAGTCTCCAATGCCTCTTCTGCTTTTTTGCAATATTTCGCTTCAAATTCATATTTTACAGCAGAAAAGGGCAAATGCTCAGTTAGAATCCCGCTGTATACAGGATAAAATCTCGCCACCATCATTATGGGGTTAGGTGCATTCAACCAAGTGACGATGATCTGAACAGGCGGCCCTGGTACTTACCGCAGGGATGATATGGACTATCGGTTGCCAGCAGTGGCGGTCCCAGGATTTCGGACCGTGTTAAAAAAAATTTTCAATTGAAGGTGCGTGGCGTCAGCCACGCACTCCGAAAAATTTTTGGGATTCCATCCTGAAGAGTCGCGATAGGCATATAGTAGAAATCTCCAACACAAACTGATCTCAAGATTTGCAGAATGGGGTAATTCGGCATGCTGATTCGAATGATGCATGCACCATAAGTCGCAACGCTTTCGCTGGACGACAGTAAGTATAGTAAGAATAGTTAGGAACTTGCAAATCAAGAGAATAGTGATATTCGTACCCCGTAGCAACTTTCAGCTACTTATCGTACCTTCCCAAATCTTAACATCAAAAATCGATAATCAGTCCTTTTGCGTAATTTCACTTATTCAGCCATTAGATACAGCTTTATGCGTATTGCCCAATAAAGAAAGAGTTGTTATCTTTTGATCAGGATGAATGAGAAAGGATGAACTGCTACGAACATTTTGGGTTTGTTCTACATTTTGGTCCTGCAGACCCAAACATTGCGAAATATGTGGCAGCAGCCGCAGTAGTTCCTTCTTCATCAATTTAAAAGTGATAGTTAGAAGCGCCATGTCCCGGATTTAGGACAGTGAGATTTTTACGCTGTGTTATAGCAGCTCCCCTAAGTAACGCACGCTTCCGTTGCAAAATATAAATAAACTGAGAAAATCACCAATTAACAATGAGTCCAATGAAACAGATGAAATTGTTGAAAATGTGGTAATCATAATGAAGGGAAATCTTGTGCCATTATATACTGAGGCTCACTTTTGGACTTACGTCCAGATCAACCATCTTGATTTGCAGAGTGACGTTGCCCCTTGAGCGTTTTTTTTCTTCAAAACTCATATTTTGTAGTGGATTGTTTTAGCAGCCCGCTTCCGCATAAAATTCCACCACCCTCTTGCGTGGACTTGAAGGTCCGTATGCACGTTCATCCCGTCGGGAAGGGAAGGTTCGTGAAACTGATCTTCAATTCCACTGATTATGAGCTTTACATTTTTTTGCCTATCTCTGCTGAAACGGCTCTATTTATCTTCCATCTGACGATTTTCGTTAATTGTGTATTCTTCCCAAAGGGTCTGCACTGTTTCTTTAGAATTTTCTAATCTATAATCTTGCTCCAGTACTTGCGATCTGCTTTATGAGTAGAATAGAGGAATCAGTGCTGTTGCGTTTACCTCTAATGTACTGTCGTTACATAGACGACTGTTGCGTTATAACATCAACACAATCCGAAATGGATGAGTGTTTCCGATTACTCAACCAACAGTCACAGTACATAAAGTTTACACGGCAGCAACCGAAAAATGGTTGGGTTCCTTATCTCAACGTACAAATCCAACTGTTTAACGGCGCTGCGAATGTAAAATGGTATCGCAAAGAGAGTTCCAAAAACATCTTGGTTAATGCTCGCTCCGCACATCCGATTACTGTTAAAAGAGCTGTTATTCGTAACATGCTCAAAACAGCAACGAATGTATGCACAGGAGAAGAAGAACGGAAGGAGTCGCGGAGATGGGCGCTGGATATTGTTCGAATAAATGGCTACACGTTCCGAAACGGACGTAGTGGACCATCCATTATCATCAACAGCAACCAGCACCGACAGAAAATACCTCTCTGCCTTCCTTTCGTCTCTGACGCGACTAGTGCTATAGTGCGACGATGCATTAAACACGCGAACCTCGAAAACGATGTCATTTTGTTTGACGTTCCAAGTGATAACATCAGGAAGCGGTTAGTACGTAACAGGCTGCACGACAACTACTGCAGAATCCAAGACTGCGTAGTTTGTCCATCCGGTAAAGTTGGTGACTGCGGTAAGACAGGTGTAATCTATCAGATCGAATGTATCAAGTGCAGCGCCACTTATATCGGAGAGACTGGGAGACCGTTGGGAGTTAGGTTAAAAGAACATCTTGCCAGCAAAAGGCGAGGAAGCCTTACCACTCCTCTCGGTAAACATAAAGTTGAAGTCCACGGTGGTAAGGACTTCGAGATCAGATGTGTAATACTGGCATACGAATACGATACTGCCATTAGAAAGGCTCTCGAGGCGTTCTGGATTTTCGCAAGAAATCCTAGCATGAACAGCCGAAATGAGTGTATGTCAATCACAAATGACTTTTTGCCATTCGTGACGTTATGTGAGTTGAAAGACCACTGATTAGTTCGAATATGGTATACAGTGTATTCCATTATTGCTATCAGTGGCACTGAAGGACGGCCGCTTTCAACATCTGCGCGCCGGCGGTGGAGGAGGTTAGTTCGTCTTTCACGTTATGGAGTTTTTGTTTGTAGCATTCTGGGGCAACGTCGAGGCTAGCCGGGGATGGAGGAGGTTTTTGGTGGGGTAGACATAAAATCATAAATCTCTTACCACTTTAGGCCTCTGAAGAAGACGAATAGCTCGAAACGTTAGGCCGCCACTTACTAATAAATACTAACCTCGATTGGCTTACTAACTACTCACAATATACTAATCTATACTGTTTATGAAAAAAGGCAAAATTGTGTTGCCTCATACCTCTTGGATAAACCCTTAAGTGAGACAGCTGTATTCTAGACTTGATCTTGTGACTGTTATAGCCTAACTGCCAAGCAGTAGTTCATCGAAGATTCAACTACTCTACGACTCGTTTATTCCTTTAGAAACTTAAAGATTGTAAATCTGTCGCAGCTGTTTGCTTCCCTTGGATGTGAAGTACATACGGATCTAAGAGCACAAGCGAACGTTCTTAGCCTCCTGTACTTACCTCAATTAGAGCTCTATGAGCTGCATTGGACACATACAGAGGTAGGTCTGAAACCCCTGTTAGATTGACCTGGCTTGTGAAAAGATCAGTGACTCCCATATGCTGAAGCGCTTCTTTCAATTTGTAGTTGGTCTCTATTTTCATTTTTGGAATGCGTATCTAAATTAATTTTTGTATCTTAGGTGTCAAACTCAATTCACTAACCGTCAAATACTCAGGTTTGAGTTTTGAGAGCAGATTTCGGATCACGAGCCCACTCAATCGCGTTCTGAGATCCTTTAGGCCAAATCTAAAAAGGCATGAAAGCATTATGTAGCCTCACACAAGGTTCAAATTGCAGTAGCCACCTCTCTTTTGGCAGAAGTACGTTGAAGGCATAAGACTTGTCTTTGTAAGGTAACGACAACACCATTACGTCATCGTTTTCGGCATATAAACAATTTTTCTTGTATTCATTCATGAACTCCGTCTGAAATAGTTGCTCAAAGCTGCAAACCAGTCTGATGAGCAAAGCTGCTAAATCACCTCTCTTTTATTCGTCTTCGAATGATAGAAGATATATTTTGCTGTAGAACGCTGACTAAACTTGTCCCACCAATCGGCTTTGAAGTAAACAGCGTTCACAATAAGCGAGAATACACCTTAGTAGTACGCATGCATGGAGAAAAGATCAGGGATTCAGAAAGACACACCATTCACTGCATCCTCCGTTATTAGATTTTTGATCTTTCCTTCTGTTGTCGCACTAACAAAGTCATCAATAACCTTAATTAAAATCCTATTTCTTCCTTGCTGCCTATAAATTGCGAATACCTTAGCTGTTTTCCTCGCCTGTCCAAAATCGAGAGCCTCTATTTTTGCCGCATATTTTTTTACTAACGCGCTCGCATAGTCATCCTTGATCGAAACCTTCTTGCTGAAAATGGTTATGTTGTGAAGCCCAAATGATGTTTATACTCCTTCTAGTGCAACCTAACACTGAATTGCAATGTATTAAGCTTAGCATCTACTTGTCTGGGCGCGAAGATGTGCATGTTTGCACATCTTCGTCCTACAAAATCGCCCTGCTTTGTGCAAGTACAATAAACTTCAATAGGCTTCGGTTGAATGAAATGGCTATTGGCTGCTATTTCGGTGGTCGTGATTCCATACAAAAAAGAGGTTGACTCATAATTCCAAATGTTTTTTTAGATTCTTCAATGGTTGTTTGTTTGTAGCTTGATTTGTCGGTCAGATTATGTCATCAATAGTATGTCATGTATTCGAATTAAATTGCTTTGGTTAGTCTGCGTCTAACAAGGAACGAAACATTCTAGAAATTAGGAGAATAAGGCCCGAACAATAAATCATGGATATTCCGATAGGTCCTAGTAGTCCTAGCCTGTGGGCTTCCCAACAAATTCGCGCAAGTACTAAACTCGGGCGTGTAAGCAAGAATTTGACCCTGTTGCGCTGCCTAAGGGAACGGCCATAGGTTGTCGGTGTTGTCGGTGTTGTCGGGGTTGCGAGGTTGCCGGTCGTTGTAGGACCTATGATAGCCTCCACGTTTCGCGCGCTCTCTAAACTGTCCCTGACCCCCACAACCCCGACAACACCGACAACACCGACAACCTATGGCCGTTCCCTAAGACAATTCAAACGCTGCAGCTTACAACAATAGCTGGTGTCAATCTTTGCATCAATTTCTTGTTAATTTCACTGGTTGTACCTAAATGTCTGACTTCTTGAGTCCCTTTACTTTAGAGGTTACGCAGGTGATTAATTGGACTAATGTTGCTATCATTACATTTGTTGAAGTAGTGTGTGAGTAAAGTTCATAGGTATGGCCGGACGAATGCGCATACCTAAGGGCGCGAAGGCGGTTTTATTAGCCCGCGAGCGCAGGCGCAAGGATTTTGATGGTGAAGATTCGCTGCTGCTCTTAATCGTTTTCGCGTCTTCGTCCAACATTAGCTTTTACATGTGTGCATAGAACAATTTTTCTTTCCTCACACCATTTTCTCGTGATTTTATTTCACACGCTATTTCAACGAACCAGTGAGGACAATCCAAGTAACATGAGGACAATCCGAGTAACTTGATAGAGGAGGCGTGCAAGTGTAACCCAGGCAGCCGCCTGATGTCGCAGCCAGCGGCCAGAGCTGGCACCAACGACGCGGCTGGGCTACCGTAAGCGCGCTTTCGTGGTCCACAACCTCTCGATGGGAGATCATCGCAGCAGCCTCGTACCTCATCGCGCTGAGGTGCGAGAATTTCCTCAGAGTTTGCGCTACTGCCAAATGGTATATCGACCAGGACAGCAGAAAATTTGCATTATTAGTAATTTGCACTGTAAAATGTGCAAACAAAAAATAGAAAATGAAATCTTATATACAGTGCGTTTCATAACTATACGGCGCCCCCGAAAATTTTGGGTTTCCGGACTTACAGAATAGATCCAGTACTCGAGTCAGTGCCTTTATGGTCTACATATTATATTGAATAAAATATTATAATATCTCAATCATTACGTCTAGTCATTTGCCTTTTTACATGTAGAGATATTCTCTTCTTCCACTGTTTCATGACTACATGACATTCTTGAGCAAGTTACTTTTTCCAAGGTAAAGAAAACGCTAGACGGGGTTTTCACAAGTAATCGGACTAACGGGCCTTCTCTACCACTCTATCGAGTCTATTGGAAAGGCTTGTGGCAAATTCATGCATGTCTTCGGTTCACTGTTGTCTGTCATATGCGTCCACAACGAACTGCTCCAACTTCTCCTTGTACTGTTTGTAACCGCACAGAAACGCTGTGCCAGTAATCTCCAGAGTGTTTTTTTTTTTTGAAGGAATTGAAGCAAGACAGTATGGTCACTTTTACAGGAGCTGCTCGCGATGCTGGCGGAAAACGGCGGTAAGTGATTTGTGTGCGTGTTCATATGCGTTGTGCTGCTGTGAAACGTAATGCTGCTACAGGCGCTTTGTTAAGAAGATGACAGAAAAAATGAGCCAATGATTTGGTAGTGTAATCTAATCAAAAAAATTTAGTCCGGACGACTAGAGAACGGACTGGCCGGATGTATGCAAAGTCCACATCATTTAAGCTAGAGAAGCTTTAGCGGGGGTTTCTCTATAATCTGGGAGGATTATGCGAGGTCCACAAGCCCAGATTTGCTGAGGAACTTTACGCGCAGACTGTCAAGAAGTACTGGGAGGCCAATGACTTCCACGAGCGCCGGTGACAACACTACTCGAAGCAGCACAACGCACCGAACATGCACGCAGGTCACTTACCACCGTTCCTCGCCAGCATCGTGAGCAGCTTCTCTAAAGGTGACCATACTGTCATGTCTTAAATTCTTTTGAAATTTCCTGCAGACTACTGGCACAGCGTTTCTGAGCAGTTACAAACACTACGAGGCATTGAAAAAGTTGCAGCAGTTCTGGACGCTTGTGACAACAGTGAACCGAAGACATGCATGCATTTGTCAGAAACCTTTCCAATAGTGATAGAGTGGTAGAGAAGGCCGGTAGCCCGATTACTCATAAAAATCCCGTTTTGCGTTTTCTTCTCCTTGGAAAAAGTACCTTGCTCTGAGGTGTCGTATAGTTACGAAACAGTGGAAGATTAGACATGTTTCTACATGTAGAAAAGCAAGTGATTAGACGTATTGATTGACATGGTATTTTAATCAATATCATATGTAGACCATAAAGGCACTGACTCGAGTACTCGATCTCTTCTGTAAATCCGAACATCTTAGTTTAGGGGGGTGTCGTATAGTTATGAACGCACTGTATAAATCTGGATGTCTGTTTGTCTGTACTTATGTGTGGAATAAAAATTTTTATTTCTGAACCGATTTGGACCAAACTTGGCACGCATACACTGCGGGGCAGGGAGCGTGTCATAGGCACTTTTCGTTATCTATCGATATCGATTTTATCGATTTTATCGATTTTTTGCAGAGTCCACCTACGGGGCTGGGCGTTGGCACAGGGGGTAAGTGGGCATGCTGATTTCGAAAATAACACAGGGAACGGAAAATGAAGTGTAGAAGTGGGCACAGGGAAAGGCTGTACAGGGATAGAAATGGTATAGTGTTTATTACAGTGTTTTGACAGGGCCGAGCGGAGCCGGGTGAGCAAGCTAGTTATGTATAATTATAAGATTGGATCAAGTGTCTGATAATGACACAAAACCCTGAAAAAATTCAGTAAGGAAGAAAACTGGACATATTCAATTCTCCTCAACAAAAAAAAAAACAATTAAATAAGGGAAGTTTGTAAAAAAAATTATAAAATAGCTGAATTCTTAGCTTTTCAGCATTTCTTCGTGACCTTCAGTTCAGAAGATTATTTAGAGTTTTGAGGTTTTTGAAGATTCAGTTCGATCTAGTTGTAGTCCAAAGAATCCTGCAAATTTAGAACTGTCAGAAATCAAGAAGTAGAAACCATTTCAAAGAAACGGTCTTTTCGACTTTGAAATCGGCATGGAAATGTAGGTTTTTGACAAAATACTTATAAACTGCAAATTTTCTTCTGTTTGATATACAATTTGTGGTAGTCGCGCGTCTCTGAGAGAATTATGGCACCCCAGGGCGATGAGGTGCGAGGCTGCAGCGAAAACCTCTCACGGAGAAGTTGTGGACCACGAAAGCACGCTTACGGTAGCTCAACAGCGGCGTAGTGCCAGCTAGCTTAGTGCCAGCTCTGGCGGCTGGCTGCGGCGCCAGGCGGCTGCCTGGGTAACACTGCTACACACCCACTTGATAGTGATGTCTCAAAAAGGTTACAATCAAAACACCTGATTGATCTCAGTAGAAGCACAGTGGAAGCTAAAGGTACCCAATCAACCGGAACATCTAATTTATAAGACAATTGTATATGAGCTTACATTTACAGAAGCGCAGAGATGGGCACGGTTCGAGAGCGATTTTGTACGACCGCAATTTCGCATTTCATTGTAATATAACTGATAGAACTCTACAAACTTGCCAAATAAAGCGAAAGTGGCTGCATGGCGTAATAGATATATCTGAAGCTAACATGAGTAAGAAGCAAAATTGAATTATCGAACATTAACACTCAAACGTCATGAAACTGACCACCATGTCTTTGCGTTGAAGTGCACCTTTTCTAAAGCAAATTGCAGTGGAGATAAATCAGGTGTAAACACTTCTTTGCCGGCCGTGAGAGGCCGACAGCCTTAGTGTTTGGATAATTGACTATGTACGATCTGAAATAAACGGTTGATCCCGCAGTATTCTATTATACTATTCCCCTAAATGTGAGGTACGCGGCCGAAATCTAGTTAAACTAAGTTTGACTCTGCTGTCTACCGAACCATTTGGCGGCTCCGTCAAGTTGCGTCAGTACAAACTCTTTCTGAAATAAACTTCGCGCTATCAGCGAGAGGCTATCGCGAACCACGTACGTCACCGCCAATTGCTGCAGAAGTAGAGTAAAGACAAAAAGGCAGACTCAAAAAATTTATAATTCAAAAAAAAGTATATGCTGAGTTATGCCAAATTAGGTTTTTGAGATTTTCATTGAACCTTTCGGTTTCGACAGTCTCGTCTTCTTCAGAGGTTTGAACGAAGATTACAGGTTATTTGAATCTTGGCAATACAATGCCAAGAGCCTCCCTCCTCACCGCGCTAGTCTAGACATAGGCTAGCGCTAGACATAGCGCGAGATCACTGAGGTGTAAAAACGAGCCGACCTTGGACCCACCGCATTTCAGTAAGCCTGCAAAGATGATTTCGTCACTGAGTGTCACCCAGTTTGTCAAGGCTTTTATGTGCGGCTTTTATAATCTTACTTTCAACATTTTAATCTTTCTTTTATAATCTATAACCTCAAGCTTATGATGGAGATAGTACTGGAAAGAACTGTAGGTGGGGGGGGGGGGGGGGAGGGAGGGGAGGAGTGAAGTTTGCTAGGTCTTAGCGACTGTTACTAGTCCAGATAAAAGTATAGTATGTACATTTGTTAAGCGTAAAAGTTGACGTCACAAGTCTTTCGAACCATCTTTGCCCTCGAACAGTACCTTTTGTAGAAATTTACACTTCCTCGTTTGAAGTTCACGTTTTGAATAGACTTATTAAATCGCAATCAAACAAAAAACAACAAACTTACTCCAAAAAGAATCCATTTGCGATTTTGGCTTGCGCCCCATCCGAATAGTTTGTAATATTTTTTGAAAGATCCGAGTAGAATTTTACGCTAGCCTCATTGCCGACTCCTCAACAGTTATAAAGACAAGACTCAAAAGAAACGTGTTTTGACGTGATATGCTTGTGAAAACTCTGAAGTGAATTCATTTCGTGATGTGGTCTTGTGTACAATTCGCAAAAATCAAGTTAGATGTGATAGAGATTTGTGCAACACGGGCAAGAAAAGTTATATTATTAAAAAGTAACATCTCTCATTTTTTGTTGTAAAAAAAACAATCAGCTGCATTTTTGCTTTTTTGCTAGAAACTGTTTTTCTCAAATAAGGAGCTACTCTAATATACCATACCATACGAAATTAGCCGATTGATCTGCTCCTTTGTTCGTTCTTTTGCTCCTAGCTGGACCATAGCAAGAGCGAAAATCACCGAAAGTGGAGACACTACCATTTGCTGAGACGCAGGAGATTGCTGAAGCATATTCAAGCCAAAGTCTATTTCTGCGCTCTGCATCTTCACAACTATATTTGGTTTTCAGAAACTTGCTTACTCATCCTGCTTTCTTAGCCAGAGAGGCGGAACAGTCATTGTACAGTATGCCTCACATCACCAACAACTCCTAAAAAACGTTGAAGAATTTTAAAATCCTATAAGGATCTGCGATGGACATAGTCAAAAAGTTTTTTCATAAAACTAACGAGGAAAGTTTGTTTAGTCAAAGTGGTTTTTTAAATGTCATGTATACCATATTGAAGACATAAAATGTTGATCCCAAATCTGCCTTCCTTATCTGCAAAACGTTTGAAAAAGAGGAGTTATGAGGGTTTCTGGAGCCAAAAATAGAATGTGCATTTTGGATAAAATGTTGCTAAAATCTTACTCGCTCTTAAATAATGCAACCAAGCGTGATATATTTTTTATTTGAAAGTATTTCTCAATAATGTGCTTTGATCCGCCTTCTGTAGGATACTTCCCATCTAGAAAATCACCTCGACTAAACATGCTTCCATTCTAACTATTCCGGAAGAAGTATGTGAGCGATGCATTAGCTTATTTGCAAACCAGCCTAAATTTGGCAGGATCAATCTTCCAAACGTCTATCATCTTTCTCTCGTGCTGATTTTTCGTGATAGTAGTTCGTAGAACTAGTTCCAATTTTTTTCCGTTCACAGAAGTTTGCATATTAAATTTGAGGTCAAGCCGAAACAAGCGATAACTGCTTATTCAAAACCGGCTTTGCTGGGCCTTACAGTGGGAGTGATTATTCAAGGGAAAATAACGAATCATATAGTGAATATGATACTCTGACGAAAAGTTTTGATTCGTTGTAACAAGATTAGTTTTCGTAAAAGTGAGAGAAAGTTTTCGGCTAACAGCCACAGTCGAAGTAGTGACGTCGAACAAAATACAAAAACAAATAAGACAGATTTCGCAAAGTTCTTCGTGGCAGCAGTAAAACATATTGGAAGTACGCGCACAAAACTATATGTTATAATTCTTTTGAGTAATCTCTAAGCAATAGTTTGCCATCAAAAACCGTAAGCTTACACAGACGGTTTATTACCACTCATTCTTTTTTTCATCACGGAAGATAGATGCATTCATTCATCCATTAAGCATATAGGAAAGAGTGTTGTTTGAGACAGCCAAAAACTGCCGTAAAAAGTGTGAAATTCACCCAAACAAAGCTTCAAGAAACGCTTTTAAATGCAAGATGTGTATGATCGATGTTGCTATAAAACGTGGATTCGGAAATAACAGCACTATGCAAATCACCGAAGCGATCAAACATGAATAAATTAGAAGTTGATGCTTAATGGCATTCGGATATCAAATGCTAGAGCTTCAGACACAAACACGAATAATCAATCATTCGTTGACGCATTTCTGAAGTCATAGTGTTTCGCAATATTTTGTTTGGGCATTGCGGATGGAAAGACACGATGGTTTTGAAATTATCGTCCTACTGCGTTGGTTTGATGGGCAGGCATGAAAGTCTACTTAATGAAAATATGAGAATTTGAAAGTAGATAATTAAATGAAGAAGCTGAAGAGGAACCCATCTGACTTGTTCAAGCGTATAATAAACTAGCTGGCAAACCCGGTTCCGCCCGGCCCTGTCAATAATACAGGGTGTCCGTAAAGTATGTATGCACTGTTTGATCGTTAATATCTCCGTTCCCAGGGGGTCTTTTGCCGAGCTTTAAGCACCATACTGTAGAGCTGGCTTCAACTTACATTTACAGTATGGAGCGAATCTCCGGTCTCCTCTCATTACTGTAGGATTACGGTAGGAACTTCAAAGAGGGTTTTGAGCCATGAAAGGCCATATTTTGCCTCAGAAAGGAAACAAAACAGCCTGAAAACTTTTACACTAGGCTAATTAGGGTTGCTGATTCTAATTGTAAAGTTCCCAACTTATTATGATGCTTCATTGAAGAGTTATGCCAGGTAAGAGGTAGCGACCATTTTTTCAATGGTCCTAAAAAGTGCGTTTACACCGTTTAGAAAGCTTCGCAATCTTGTGAATAGTTGAGTATTGAACTCAGCGTCCATATGAACCTTATTACACAAGTTTTCACATTTTTTTGAAAAATTTTGAAACGACAGCTTTTCCACATTGACACCATATGCTTCAAGTTTCTACCGTAGTCCTACAGTAACAGTAGTGATCGCTGATTCACTCTATACTGTAAGTCTTAGTTGAAGCCAGCTCTACAGTATGGTGCTTGAAGCTCGGCAAAAGACCCCCTGGGAACGGAGATATTAACGATCAAACAGTGCATACATACTTTACGGACACCCTGTATATTTGTAATCAGCATGCTCGATTACCCCCCCCCCCTGTGCCAACTCCCAGCCCCGTTGCTCAAATTTTGCAAAAAATCGACAAAATCGATATCGATCGATGATGAAAAGTAGCCTATGACACCCTCCCCGCGCCGAAGTGTATGTGTGCCAAGGTCCGGATCGGTTCAGAAATGGAATTTTTTTATTCGGAACGTACGTACACACAGACATACAGACAAACAGACATTCAGCTTTATATATAAAATTGTCTCAGCCCATCAAGACCTTATAATAACGGGCTAAGAGTTGTTTACGTGTTTTTGTGTGTGTGATTTTTGCACAGAGATGTAGCTCACGGTGATTATTGCCTTTATGGCCACTACCAAGCCATGACAAATTCAAAAACCTATTCAAATTTGCGTTTGTCTTCATGCGAAAAGTTTCATCCACGCGAAATCACCGATCTCACGTGAAAGAGCCTTCTAAATGAGTAGTTGTTTACATTTCATTCGTGGTAACCGGCATAGCGCGGTGAGTTCCAGTGCCACGATTTTACGAGAATGAGTAAGGCACATGGATAGTAATGCCAGTGCGAGCCTCTGCGGCATTCAGTATGATTTCTGGCACATTCGTCACAGAAGCAAACTTTAAACGTTGTTACCATTTTGAATGCAGCATCCACCCAAACCTTCGTCTTCTTCATTTCATTCCATTTTGAGGCCTTTTTCTTACCCTGGTTATGTGCAAAAAAGTGCAAACCAAAAATATCAGTTTTTGGGAGCTTTACCCCAAGGCACAGAAAAGTTTCAGTACCTGGATGGGTGGAGCATAGAGAGGGTTTGGCTTGATAGCACTTGCAAATTTCAGGTCTATTTTTCCCGTTCAGAGGCTACACCAGAGGACCGGAGTAACGCAAATGTCTTAATCCTAGAGCTTTTCTGTAGACTAGATATCAATCGGGGGAGATTTTGCTTGCTGCTTTTAAGAATCTTTTGCTTAATTAGTTTCTTTTTGAGACTATCGACAGCGTAAATGAGATAATCCTTATCGTTTCTATAATGTGCGTGTAATGGACGCCTTACGGCAACAACTGTTAATACTCAGTTTTTTCCTTACAAGCTCACATCTTGTTTTCAGCCGTTGCAGAGCAGGAACGTCTTTTTTACTAAAGGTCAAATAGTGTGCAGCCACTGCCATGTTCAAGGAATGCACCTTTGTTACGCAGAATTTCAACTACAATACCGCTCACAGAATGTGCAAAATTTCCGTGAATGTTGCGAAATTTCGAAAATTCCGCGAACTTTCCGGAATTTCGCGAAATTTCGGAAAGTTCGCGAAGTTTCGCGAAATTCCAGGAATTGCGCGGAATTTTTGGAACTTCGCGATATTCACGGAAATCTTGCACATTCTGTGAGCGGTATTGTATATTAATATCATAAGTGGGCGGGGCTTACAGTTCACACCTAAAAAGCGAAAAATCGATATTTTGGAGGTTAGTGAACCACCAAATCCTCAAAAATTGATAGAATCGGTATTCTGAGGGCTGTGAAATCCCGAAAATCGACAAAATCTATATTCTGAGAATTGTGAAATCTCGCAAGTTGACAAAAATCGATATCCCAAAAATCGAAAAATTCGATAAAATCGATATTTTGAAGGTTGAGAAATCCCGAAAATTGACAAAAAATCGATAAAATCGATATTTTAAAGGTCCCGAAAATCGACAAAATCGATATTCTGAGGGTTGTGAGGTCTCGCAAATTGGCAAAAATCGATATCCCAAAAATCGGAAAAATCGATAAAATCGATATTTTGAAGGTTGAGAAATTCCGAAAATTGACAATATTTTAAAGGTCCCGAAAATCGACAAAATCGATATTCTGACGGTTGTGAGATCTCGCAAACTGACAAAAATCGATATCCCAAAAATCGGAAAAATCGATAAAATCGATATTTTGAAGGTTGCGAAATCCCGAAAATTGACAAAAAATCGATAAAATCGATATTTTAAAGGTCCCGAAAATCGACAAAATCGATATTCTGAGGGTTGTGAGGTCTCGCAAATTGACAAAAATCGATATCCCAAAAATCGGAAAAATCGATAAAATCGATATTTTGAAGGTTGAGAAATTCCGAAAATTGACAAAAAATCGATAAAATCGATATTTTAAAGGTCCCGAAAATCGACAAAAAATCGATATTTTAAAGGTCCCGAAAATCGACAAAATCGATATTCTGAGGGTTGTGAGATCTCGCAAACTGACAAAAATCGATATCCCAAAAATCGGAAAAATCGATAAAATCGATATTTTGAAGGTTGAGAAATTCCGAAAATTGACAAAAAAATCAAATCGATATTCTAAAGGTCCCGAAAATCGACAAAAAATCGATATTCTGAGGGTTGTGAGGTCTCGCAAATTGACAAAAATCGATATCCCAAAAATCGGAAAAATCGATAAAATCGATATTTTGAAGGTTGAGAAATTCCGAAAATTGACAATATTTTAAAGGTCCCGAAAATCGACAAAATCGATATTCTGACGGTTGTGAGATCTCGCAAACTGACAAAAATCGATATCCCAAAAATCGGAAAAATCGATAAAATCGATATTTTGAAGGTTGCGAAATCCCGAAAATTGACAAAAAATCGATAAAATCGATATTTTAAAGGTCCCGAAAATCGACAAAATCGATATTCTGAGGGTTGTGAGGTCTCGCAAATTGACAAAAATCGATATCCCAAAAATCGGAAAAATCGATAAAATCGATATTTTGAAGGTTGAGAAATTCCGAAAATTGACAAAAAAATCGATAAAATCGATATTTTAAAGGTCCCGAAAATCGACAAAAAATCGATATTTTAAAGGTCCCGAAAATCGACAAAATCGATATTCTGAGGGTTGTGAGATCTCGCAAACTGACAAAAATCGATATCCCAAAAATCGGAAAAATCGATAAAATCGATATTTTGAAGGTTGATAAATTCCGAAAATTGACAAAAATCGATAAAATCGATATTTTAAAGGCCCCGAAAATCGACAAAATTGATATTCTGAGGGTTGTGAAATCTCGCAAATTGACAAATTTGAAATTAGTTTATACGAAGTCTTCACTATTATAAATAGGAATAAGCTATATCTTTATGCTATAAATTGTCCAATAAATACCGGACTAACATTTTTGGTAAGTACGAACATGAAGGGGTGGTTTGCTATGAAAGATATAGGATCCTCCGAAAAAATCATTCCCGAGATTCTGAACATGTTGCTGACTGTAGCGGCAGCAGCAGTGGTGCCATCTTCGCCAACCTGCAAATTGACACAAAGAAAGCTATGACGTAATCTTTACAAAAAAATTAGCATAAACCTTGAGTTACAAGCATTACTCTCAAGAAATGCATGCTACAAATGTTTGAGCATCAAATCTTGTGTCAAGTGATAATGATTAGATGACGAGTAAAGATTTATTGTCTCCTTCTCAATAGCCAAAATTCAAAGTCAACTATGACTGGAGCAAACGCAACTGTTCGAAAAAAAAACAACAAGGTTTAAGACACCTGTTTTGCATGTTATTCGATTTTAATAAAAATCTGGGGCAAACAAACGATTGCAGAAATTGACAAAGCTTTTTTCAGTTAAACATTCCTATACCACTGCTAAATTCTTCCTCATCTAGGGATCGCAAAGGCAGGTTGAATTCAATCTGCAAATGTTTTCCGGTTTTTAGAAGTTTTTGTGCCATTTTAACTTATTGGAAGTTTGCGTTTGCTAGAAGCTACAAGTGTAATAGACTAAAAAATCTAAAAAATCGTTTGTCTAGTATCATTTATCCGAACAATCCAAGGCGCTCTACTTTAGGTTGTTTCTTCTTACTTGCAATATACAAAAAGTACAATATTTGCACACAAAGATTTGGATCGATTTTGTAGAAATTTTGGAGCAGCGACCCAATTTTTTGAGTGAATAAAAACTTTTTTGGCTCCAAGCTTGTGGATCAACCGTGAACCAGGGTCAAGTGTGGAGAGTGGCACGTCACATTTGGGCTTCGCTTAAGGTGTCAGAGACGGGAGAGGGTCGTAACTGAAGTGGCTTTGGTGGTAATAAAAACGCGATATCCGTTAGAATATCAAAAAACCCCTTTGTGCAAAAAAAACAAGCACCTAAGATATTGACTCATCACTGTATCCATCTTGAGCAAACAAGTCTCTACCAATGGATCATATTCGTGAGCGTCAAGTCGAATAATCCCCTTGTATCAATTTACCTATTACCCCAATTCAAACAAAGCCAAACTATGAAAATGGAGGTGCAAAATATCCATCGTTTGTTTATATTTCTCGTTTTCGGTGGTTGTGCCTTCAGCAATCACTATTCAGCCTTTTGGAGCAAATTAGGCTCAAATCATTTTTGTGATAGCACGAGATCAGGCTATCAAAGCATATTCGAGTTACTTCCCAAGGATATTAGGTTGATGCAAAAGTTCTTTGGTAATTTGAACACAATTCAATAACTTTCTAAGCACTGAACCTAAATTCGAAAGCTTGCTTCCTATAAATAGATGGAAGTTTGCGCTCCATTGAAGATGTTGAAGCGTCTTCTATAAGCTAACAACGGAAAACGAAGCTTTCAAAAATGGCGTTTCAAAATCTGCAATTGTGAGTTCGATGCTAAAAATTGCAAAGGACCTCTGCCCTGCCTCAGAAAATGTGTGAAAGTTTTTCATTTGAAGGTAGTCAATTTTCCAAAATTCAAAAGCTTCGGTCTCAGTCATCAGCTTATCAAAAGTTACTTTTGGCATCTGTCATGGACGTGAACCTTGAACTATTTTTAGGAAACGCTAATAAATCCAGGTTTAATGCTTGAAAAGTTATTAAACTCTGAATAATTCTCGCACCAACCTAATATTATTGTGACGAAAAATGTTGGAGTGTGGCACAACCCCAAAGAAGTTGTGGCAGCCTCCTAAGATTGGGCCGCACCCCGACATTTATATCACACAGAAAGTTTTTCCCAGACCCTATCAATATTGTATAGTATCGTCTGTATCCCCTAGTTTTTACAGAAGTGATTTGAGGCTGTTTTGTCTTCATATTTTTGAGCGATGACTACTGCAAAGTCACTGAAAAATGGGAAAAAGAGAGTTCGGCTCGGTTCTCATTTTCAAAGTTAGCATTTTGTTTGGTGATTCCATGTTGCGGTTTTAAGGAGTAGTGCTTTGTACTGGTTTCAATTAAAACAATTATAATCATCTTTGAAAATGACCAACTCAGTTAGATGGCCTAATACCTAAATGCCTCAGAGTTTACTAAAACTCGGACTAGTAGGGTTATTTGACATGCTACTTACCGAAGTGAAACTTACTATTTGTTAGAGTCTTTTTCTTATGCCTAACTGTAGGTATACGGTAATTTGGGGGAGGGGGGAGGGCTGTTGAAAGACAACTTAAGAGAGAGGTCTTATTTGAGAATCGTGGTTACACCTCGTGCTCGATTGTTTGTGAGTCAACCTAGTTGGTTATAGCCTCATCGTTCCAGATAAAACTAGGCTAATTTGTAGATAGGGTTTATAGTCAGCATACCTATTGCAAAGGATTGGGGGACTATATGTGGCCGAAAGTGAAGATCTTGCGCTGGCATCTGCAGCACATAAGCAACTCTTGTCAAGAGAGGCGCCTCAACATAGAAGGTTGCTTCGCCAAATCATCGTACCGCATAAAATTATTTTGAAACCCCTGACATTTGGCTTATTTTTCTGGTAGTATTCGTCTATTCATTACAAGCACAGTTACTGTTAAAGGCGCTCCAATCATATAAACGTTATCAACTTTAATCACATGGAAAGCAAATGTCGTTTTGTATTTCTCACAAACCTCTATCAACGCTTTGTGTGCAACATCGGATACTTTGAGTGGAACTTTCGTGATACCGCTCAAATCAGCGTTGTCAGTGAACATCTCAGTGACACCCATCGATATGAGCGCTTTTTTCAGCTCAAATTTCGTTTCGATTTTCATTTTTGGTAATGAAATCTGGAAAGGTGATCAACAATTTAAAAAAAAAAATTGTGATGCTTTCCTAACCTTCATTAGTTTAATCTTAGCTTGGTTCAACAGTCTTCGTAATTCTGCTCCGCTGGTCTTATTTCTAATTGCATCGAGAGCAAACCTCAAACCAAATCTCGAAAAGCTCACCAAACTTCAGTGACCTCCTACCTATCAAAGTATTACCGTTTCTTTGGGAGCAATATACTCAATGCGTAAGTGGGATCTTTATAAGGAAGCGTCAAAACTTGCATAACGTCGTTTTCCGCATACAAACGATATACATCGTGCTCGTGCATGAACTCTACCTGAAATTAATCTTTTTGGTAATCAGTAGTGGAACTAGGATCCGCAAGGCAGTAAACTACGCTTTGAATGAGCGGTTCTTATCTTAGAACGTTGAAACACTTCCTTTCCTATTTAAATGAAAATAAGATGGGCGTAAATTGTTGAAAGTCGTAGCTTAACAGAGAATAAAGTTCATCACCTCTTTCTGACTATTTTCCGAACAGTGAAACGTTCCGTTTTGTGTTGAATCCTTCTCAAATTTATTCATCCACAAAGCTTTGAAGTAGATTGCATTGACAATGAGTGAAGAAGCGCCTGAATGAATATTAAGTACATAAGTGTTACAAATGAATACAAGTACATAATTGAAGTCTAGCCATGTTCACTCACCTAAAACCATCTGTTCATTCACCAAATTTCGTATTTTCCCTTCTGTCATATCACTCAAAGACTTATCGATAACCTTTAAACGAATTTCCATGTCTAATTTACAACTCCACCGTGTTGTCTCCCACCTCAGCGGTAGCTGCTGCTTGTTGGAAATCAAGTGCTTTCAATACAGCAGAATATTTCTTGATTGTGGCTTCATACTGCTTTTCAATAATGTAGCGCTTACTATAAGCAATGAATTAAGTAGAAGTAAGTAGAAGTAAGTAGAAGTGGTGAAGAAAAAGTCAGTCAAAGAGTAAACCCACTCGATGTAAAAGATATTTGCAATCCTTGTTTGGACACCGTTGGTAACGTTCAAAACTTCTTGTGAAAGCCTCGAGTAAAATCTTTCTATATCAGTACTGTTTGCTCCTAAATTCACCCTAGTTGAAAAAGTCGATGTGAGGTTAGCTTAATTGTAGAAGAAGTTGATTACTCTTAGGTATGACATAAGAGTAACCCATGTTGAGTCCTTGCAAACTCAGTTCTTCATTGTTGTTATTTTTATTCCATAAATAATGGCCAAAGCTGTACACTAGTAACCTTCAGTGGGTGTATGTCAAGAGGTGCGAAATTTGTGCCAGATGGATACCAAAAATTTATAGTGTTTAATAACGTATCAAATGACTATTGAGTTTCTAAGAAGATACGCAAGATCGTTGCCAGAGCTGTTCAAGCTCATGCCTTGAAATCGATATAAAACATGAATGTTGAAAGTCAAACACCCGCGAAAATGCAACTAATGGCGATTTTGTGAATGCTCCGATCTCTTAACGATTTCTCATCAAAAATCATCAAACTTAGCAAGTGGTAACTTCAACTGGTTAGTAAGCTGGAGTACTTTATTTTTTATTTCTGAAGACTCGCATAGCTCTAAATTGGGCTTTTGTTTTGTTAACCTCTGGAAAGATCGCGCTTTTTGACCGTTTCCCACTTTCGGCACAATCTCACCCTGAGAGATGACGCCGTTGATTTGTGCTTTGGTTCGCCCTTTGGCCCCTGACTGGACCATGGCCAGAGCTAAAACGACGGAAAGAGGAGAAACAACCGCTTGCACATGTGCAGGCACTTGCCGAATCATCTTTAGTCCAAAGTCTAGCTCCGCATCGATGAAGGATCTTAAACTTCTCTGAGACATAAGCATCGGAGCATAACTGAATATTATCAAGAACTTACTCAGTGCTTAAGGAATTCATTCTGTAAAACGAAAGCCAGACAGCATCTCTAACAAATCTATAAGACAGTAGCAGTTTTTATGCACCGATAATTATAAAAAGGCACTTGAATCGTTCTTTACTTGCAAAATTTTTAGCAAATTCTGACACAAACTGTAAACAAGCAGTGATGTGGATAGGAGAAATCGTGCAATCGGGAATCAATCAGCATTTTAACAGCAGCACAATCGCTGACAGCGATCGACGAATAAAAGCATCACACTGAATTGTGACGCAGATGTTAATGCAAAGAAATGCAAAATTTAGTCTGTTTCTCTACAAAATTTAAGGAAGTTTTGATTGAGTAAGTTTAGGAGATTGAATCTGCTGAAGAAAACTTTGAGATTTAATAAATTGGAAGTTATCTGACTAGAAAAGAATTCCAAATCGCAGTTGCGATTTGGAACGACATATCACTGGATGCGCTTTGTTGAGCTTAAGCCAAATCTGTCCTCCTCACTTGTTGCGGAGTTCCGTGAGAGAAGTATGAGCGTTCAAAGTTCTGATTATGGCACACGTTCAATAACAATCTTTTGAGGATTAGATGTTCAAAAGTTTATTCATTTTTTTGATCAGTGTATGCATACTTGTAGTCAGCACACCCAGGTTCCCAATTATGCGCTTCCAAGCTGTTTTCAGATGTACATCATGCGTTAAGATCTAATGACTTCACACTTTTTACCGCTCTTATTTTCCTCCAGAGAATCTTGCAGCAGATGCAAAAGTCAGATCTGGAATCAGCTCATCAAAACGCATCTAATATGTATTTCATTCCACTTTTCCACTGCGATTTGAAATCCTTTCCCTGCGAGGCAAACTTGACAGGTCTGCCGGTGTTTGCAATGCGTGCCACCTACAGCATGAAGACGGTGATGTGTTATCTTTTGAAATGAGTAATACTTGTTGAATGTGTACGAAAAGTATCACTAGTATTTACAGGTTGACCTTCGCTGAGAAAATGTTGAGGCATGAAGCCACAAGAAGCTTAATGAGACCCCAATGATGCGCAACACAGAAGAAATTATAACCAAACACTATGCCCCGTATGCGCGTCCATATCTGCTGATGAGAGCAAAAGATATATTTTAGACCTAGTCAGACGATTATTCAAAAAAATCATTAAAATGCTAAGAATATTCGAATATTCGAAAGTCTGAGAATTTAAGTAATATTCGATAGTCGCATATTAGAAGGTTTTCGTTGTCGAATATTACTCGATATTCAAATATTCGAAAAAAAAATTTCGCATTTTTCCAAAGTATAGTAGGAGAGCTGTAAGGATAAGTTTTTAGCTTCGTATTCTAATTTATATCTCTTGTTCATTACTTACCTTCTAGAGGCTCTACCATTTTTATACTCTAAATAAGTAATGGCAGCGCATTGGCATGTAAGCTGATTTACCACTAATTTGTATGATTCTTCAAAATACCACTGCTAATCTGAAAAGCAGTTTCCTTCAATGTGAATGAAATTGATAGTAATCCATGCAGAGGACCTCTTGTGGTCGTATTAAGCATGTTTTCGATAAGAGAAATGGAATGTGGATGTTCTGAGCTCTCCGATAGACCCCGACAGACGGGCGATGGTCCGTTAAAGTTTTCGTTACTATGAAAATACACTTTCCTGTATAAATAAAGCTAAATGCCTCTTTGTGTCTGTATGTGTGTGTGTCTCTATGTGTGCATCCACTCAGATAATCGCCGGGGGCAGGCGTGCGCAAACTTATGCTTTTTTGCAGGCGGTCAGCAGAATTTTGGGGCATGGCCAAAACCTCAGCGGCAGAGGTGCGATAGCGGGAGCCGATTCTCCCCCTACCTTCACTTTTGAGCTGGTACAGGGTGGCTACCTTCACTTTTGAAATAAAAAATTTTTCGCTGGACAATAAAGAAGGAAAATAATCAAAACAAACGCAAAAAAAGATTATTGAAAGCATATATTTATGTATACGGCGGCATATATATTCGAAATAAACGTGTTCAGTAAATGGTGTATTTGGAAGTAAAAGTCAGCGAGACTGTAAAAATTTTATCGAGTAAATTTTGTTATAACGTACTGCGAATAAAGTAGTCGATCCAGGCAGTAACCACCGAGAACCAGAATTACGAATAATAAAATAACGTAAAATCATGCGAAATTTCCACTGCTACAAATCTGGTGGTTGAAGATGTCAGCGATTGCGACTTTATAGATTTTGAAGGGCAAGTGTTCTGTTCTGCCAGACAGTGGAAGAATTAGGTTGATTTGAGCAGTGGCCGCCGAGAACGAGAATTTCAAAAAAATAAGCGATTTTAGGTTACTTAGTGACAGCTGACGTTTAAACTCCTATAAATCTAGAATGTGAAGACGTGCAATGTTGCTGCTTTATAAATTTTGTAGAGCAAAACTTTCCTATAGAAGAATGTCTTAGCCGTACCAATCCATCAAGATACCGCCGAGATTCGGGCTCTTAAAAAAACAGGTAAAAAACCGCTCTTTGAACTTCAAAGCTCATAACTTCTTCATGCATGGATCATGTTGCGACTTCATAATTTAGATTCTTTTCATCAAGAGCTTTCAGAAGATATATAATATGTGGGTGTTTAGAGCCTCCACGAATTATGCCCGTGGGGAGCCTTTTCATACCAAAGTCTCCCCCTAGCCCACTTTAATGTATTGGTGGGGGAGACTTTGGTATGAAAAGGCTCCCTCCACGGGCATAATTCGTAGGAGGCTCTAAACCCCCACATATTGTATATCATCTGAAAGCTCCTGATGATAAGAATCCAACATATGAAGTCGCAACATGATTCATGCAGTTCTGAAGAAGTTATGGGCTGTTGAATTTCAAAAAGCGCTTTTTTACCTGCTTCTTCAAGACTCTGGATCTCGGCACTGTTTCAGTGGTACGGCTAAGATATATCCTGATAAGGCAAACCTTACTCTATAAAAACTATGAAATCACACACTTTCACTTTCAAGATTTAGATGAGTTTAATTGTCAACTGTCAAAAAACACGCAAAAATGGCGTAAATTTTTAGTCTAATTTTCAGCGATTATCTCTCAAATCGACTCGATTTCTTCACTATCTGATAGAGCACGATTTACTCTTCGAAACCTATGAAGTCGCAACTGCTGACATCTTCAAACAACAGATTTACAACAGTGGAAATTTCGCACGATTTTTCACTTTTTAAATATTCAAAACTCTGGTTTTCGGCCGTTACTGCCTAGATCGACCTACTTCCTTCGCAGTATGTTATGACAAAATTTACTTAATAAAATCCGTACAGTCCAACAAACTCTTCCAAATACATTATTTGATAAGCACGTTTATTTTAGATATTTATGACGCTGTATACATAAAAATATGCTTGCAGTGATCCCTTTTGCATTTGTTTTGCTTATTTTCCGCGCACTGGCGGCAACGACCTGGAAGGATAGACGTTAATGCCCCCCCCTCCGGTCGACGTTTTTGGGAGGTGAGTGTTCGGCACTACCACCTTTACTTTTGGCCGGCCAGTGGTAGCTAGGACCACCTTCACTTTTGATGGGCCCGGCTCCCCCCATCGCACCTCTGCTCAGCGGGCGATACTTCCTTTACTGCCGCATATTCTGCCAGCGGGAAGAAATACAGAGTTTTCTGCAAGCGTTCCTTAAATAATCTCTTTTGCGCTGGCCAAACTTTCAGCAGGCCCTCGGACTCATTTTACGCAGTTTCGGGCATACGCCGAGCAAAGATGAGACTTTATGTGACAGAGTTGTCATCGATGGTTCAATTACTTAAGTTCGAGGCACTTTCTTTTAGCGGAAAGTACCTGAGGGCTGTGCGGTCCTTCACAAAGGATCGCGCGGTCCTCAATGTTTTTGCATATTCTCGCGGGAAATCCGCGAAAATGCGGCCACTCCGCCGCAACTAATCTATAGAAAAACCACGATACTTCTCCGAGCATTCCTCTAAAAATTGGCCAACATTCTTTAAAATTTCTGCAAGCGGACCGCAAGAAATTAGCGGACTATTTTCGGTGCCCGCTTGCCCAGGAATCGCATGGCCGCCTACCTCCTGGCGATTATCTGAGCATGTGTGACTCATACATTTGTTTCGATTATAAATTTCTATTTCTGAACCGAAGGACCCAAACTGGCTTATAGACCTGGACGAGGGAGAAAGGTGTCGTAGGCTACTTTCGTCACTGATCGATATCGATCTTATCGGTTTTTTGCAAAATTTCATCTACGAGGCATTGACGGGGGGGGGGAGTAAGTGAACGTGCTGATCACGGAAGTTTACTGAGAGCCGGAACCAGCTAGTCTAGTTTCTACTGTAATCATGCACAGTGCTATCACAGCAGATCTATGCAGTTCAGTGATACTTGATTGAATTCAAAAAGAGAAATGACCATGAAATTGGCGGTAATATCCTGATGGATCTAGAATACCATATAAAACAGTAGAAAGCTCAGCTTACATAAGAAAACGCTCTCATTTTTATGCTGAAGTATCAGAATAGAAGAGCCTTCGAGAGATGAGTAGAAAACAAGGATTGTTCTCAAAACACGGAGATATAGGGCCCTCAGAGCTCCTAGTCTCTCCCTAGAGAAATATACGTAAAACGATTCCTGCAGTCATGCTCGCACAAATTAAGGGTATTATTTGATAATCCTAATAATCTAATACCTGCTCTACAATCTTTCAGACCTGACTAGTCTCAAAAATTTTCTCATGATCAGCCTGAAGCGGTCATGATTTAACTACTCATCAGTGGATGCGAATTTGTATCCGACAAAGCCGCACTCACACGATATTTGTGCGTCAGTCTTTATTTCAAACTGATTTGAGAGTCATTTTACGGATACATTTTACAACACGAGGGTGGGCGATATTGGAAGTTTCGTTTGCGCCCAGCTATGTCAAATCACGTTTCATAGAGGAGAATTGAAAACCAAAAATAACTATTGCATATTTGCATTTATTGTTTGAGGACGCCTTTATCGCTTTATTACGATTCGTCATGGAAGCCATAATTCGAACAGTATACCACCAGTGCTGACCATAGCTATAGAGCCACCCTAGAAAATGACGGTAATTTGCCCTTGCTTGAACGTGATTGTCTGGGAAACCACTGCTCTGTGTGTAATCCAGCGTTATAATCAGGGTAAAGCGGGGGGTGCGGCACGCCGCAGAGGGGGGGTCGTATTGAGGAGTCAAAAGGGGAGGGGTCGTAGTTAGGTGATCTGATTATAGCGATAACATGATATTCGTATCATATCCATAATTAGCACGTCAATTAACCCCTGTAGACAAAGTGTGAGCGAATTCTGAAGATTCAAGATACTAGGCTACTTAAGTGAAATGGTCAAATTCCAACATGGTTAACTTTGTTTTAAAGGTGAATTAGCTATCCGTTTTTGCACTCAAGTCAAAGCACTACTCCTTCTTTGTCCACCTCAGGAATCCCGCTTCAGAAGACCTCCAAACTGTGGAATTAGAAGCCAACCAAAATCTCATTTTTCCCATTTTTCGCTTTTGATGGCTGTGCTTTCACCAAATATTACTCAGAGCTAAGAAGACGAATCAGGCTCAAAACATCCCTATGGAATCTACGAGGTTTAGGCTATCGATTCATATAAATATTGTCCGCTAAAAATGTTTTTTTGATATAGTTAATGGCCTGCGGCACCCCTCCTCAAAACCTGCGGCTGCCGCAGGGGTGCCGCAGGGGTGCCGCAGGCCATTAACTATATCAAAAAAACATTTTTAGCGGACAATATTTATATGAATCGATAGCCTAAACCTCGTAGATTCCATAGGGATGTTTTGAGCCTGATTCGTCTTCTTAGCTCTGAGTAATATTTGGTGAAAGCACAGCCATCAAAAGCGAAAAATGGGAAAAATGAGATTTTGGTTGGCTTCTAATTCCACAGTTTGGAGGTCTTCTGAAGCGGGATTCCTGAGGTGGACAAAGAAGGAGTAGTGCTTTGTCTTGAGTGCAAAAACGGATAGCTAATTCACCTTCAAAACAAAGTTAACCATGTTGGAATTTGACCATTTCACTTAGGTAGCCTAGTATCTTGAATCTTCAGAATTCGCTCACACTTTGTCTACAGGGGGTATTTGACATGCTAATTATGGATATGTTGTCCATTATGTTTGACAGAGCCTTCAGGTAATACTATCTTAAGTGTATAGTTTAGGAGGGGGGTCTTATTAAGACAGCAATCAGGGGGGGGGGGTCGTATCCGACGGTCGAGTGCCGCACCCCCCGCTTTACCCTGGTTATAATCTTCATCTAAGCGTCGCCGAATTTCATTCATGTTGGCCGGAGAAATATTGAAAAATTGAAAAAAACGTGTTCAGACGCTTGTTCACAGCAATAGAGCCATCTCCTGTTTTCAAACAATACTATGTTCTTTGAACCAAGAGTTTTTCTGTGAAGTTATATCACTAAAATATGAAGCATTTGTAACACCCAATGCTGTCGCCTTTGAATAAGGATTTATACTGCATTTTCTGCTTCAAAATGAATTGAAAGTCACTTTGTTTGAAAAAACTGTTAGTTCCTGGAGTTTCCAAGCACTTACTAAACTCGGATGAAGGCATTATAAATCACCGAATCTTTGCAGTGAATGTGGTAAAAAACCCTTGAGTTAACTTTGTCTAAGCTGATACTAATATTGGTGAGCGATCTTCAATCTCAGCTTCGACCTGCTTTAGGTAAACGGACTTTCGAGCACCAGAATTTGAGTCTTAATAAACGACAAGCACTGTGAATGGAAAAATTTTTTTCGAATATAAAGTAATAGCTGTTTATTATGGTGGCATAAGAAATGTACATTAAATAAGTTCAACATCAGGAATAATTCGCTTGGGCAAAAAACTGTAATCAACAAATTTAAATCATATACTTTAAATCAATTTAGCATTGATAACTCTTTCCAACTGCTTGCAAAAGCTTTCGCTCGATCTCCTTTCTTCTTTTTCCAAGAGATCCACCAGAATATGCGTGTACAACACCCCAAATGTGATATTTACCACCTTGTATCGCAGAGAGTTCAGGCCATCGTATTGCCACTGTAGTCTTGTGTAATGTTGTAAATTGTGGCGGCATCTGTAGTATAGATTAAATGACCTACGTTCTTGTTCATCAAGGTGGTATGATGTAATTTACAACATAGGACATAGCTTAGTCCTCAAAGTGAAGCTCAGATAGATATGATCATAGATTCATCTGTGGTGAATACCTTTATGCACCACAATTAATCGCGACTTTCTGACGCGATAGATTCGAAACTTGCATACACCATCGGATAAGTTCGTCATAACTATTAGGGTGATAGGGAAATTGGGACATTTTGGTTTTTTTCGCTTCAAAAAAATAAGGCCTTTTTGAAATCCATCCGAATTTGTACATCGTGAATTTTGTGACAGTCTTCTAGCCCATTGCAGCACATATATTTTTAGTAGCCTCACTTGTTTTACTACGGTGTTGCTGCCTATAATTCAAAAATTACTTGAAGTGACGATCTTAAACTTTGAGCATCTATAAGACGCCATGCGGCAATGCCTGCCTATATAATGCGATCAGAAGATTTTGTACCCATCTCCTAAAACATGGACATCCAACTGATTTTTCTTTTTGAAAAAATACAATTATTCTTTGGGTGTTCCATTACTTCCCGATCGTTATCGTATACTCTTATGCACAGTCACATCGATCCGCGTGTCATATAATTTGTAGGATTCGACAATTTTTGCGCACAGAGGACTTGATGTAGAACGCGTTGAAACCACTCATTGCCAACAAAGTTTGAAGAAAAACTTGGAAAGATCATACGAACAAATCTCGTTGATTTTCGTTTTCCATAATTACAAGGGGACCTCTTAATACGCGTGTACAACTTAAACGAACGCACCTACCCACAGCCAGGAAAGGCGAGGCTTTGGGAAACCTGCTACGTAGTCGGACAACATATATACTTCAGAAAAAATTCACTATTTCCGAAAATGGTAAACTTACCTTGATATCTACGAATTGTACATAGGAATGACTTTCATGCTCTTTTAATAGTCTTCCTTGGGAGAAAGATACCTTAGTGACCGTGGCCATTCTTTATGTGGTACATATCAGTATATGCATCTTAAAACGTTGGTAATAGATCTATTTTCACTATCTGCGGAGCGAATTTCCAAAAAGAAATCATAAACTTTTTCGCAAAGTTTTTGCACACTAAAACATAATCGGGGTAATAACAGATAGTTATCCAAACTAAAAGTAGCTGCGCTTTTCTTCAATTGTTCCAAGGAGCAAAAAGAGAAATTTGAGTGCTTCAACTGTTATGGAGCACTTCAAGCTTTTATGAAAGAAGTTTGCAACTCAATTCAAAAATCGCTTAGCAGATAGCGAAAACAGATTTGGAATTCAAGGCGCATATAGTAATATATGTATCATTACAAATGGCCAAGGTCCCCAACTATCGCTTCTTGTTAATAGGTGACCGCAGACGGCGGCGACTCAGCCCAAAAACTTGTCGCCTTTCCCCATCGGTAATAATCGCCTTCAAGGCGCCTTTGCACCTTTTGGACGTCTGCCTATTTCTGTCCTCTCATTCCTAGTAGCACAGCCTTCGAAAATAATTCTTTTGGCTTTCGGTAAATGAATGAGTACAAAGAGAAGGAAAGCAACAGAGGAAAATTATGAAGTCTAAGTGCTGGATATGTTGCCTGTTACAATTAGGAAAAAGAAATTCAATTTTGAGCCAATCTTTTGATTAGCGACGGCAAATGAATAATGTCCTTGCGGATTGATACCGAAAAACAACGTATACAGGGTGTCCCAAAAGTAAGTACACACTTTTCAATCGCTAATATCTCTCTTCCCATTGTGTCTTTGTTCGCCATTTAAGTAACATTCTGTAGGGGAGGCTTCAACTTAGATTTACGGTATTGAGCGAATCACCGACCGATCTTCATCACTGTAGGATAACTGTAGAATCTTCGACAAGGATTTTAGCCATTGGAGGCTATATCTGCTTCGGAACAAAACCAAACAAACCAAAAACTCCTAGACTACGGTAATGGGAGTTGCTAATTTCAAATATGAGAACTTCCACTCAACTATGATGCTTCTTTCTAAAGTTATCTCAGGTAAAGCGTGATATCCAAATTCTCAATATTTGTCAAAAATGTGATTACACCGTCAAAAAAGCTGAAAACACTCATAAAAAGTTGTGTAGTGGTATCAGCGTGCGCGAAAACCTTAGTACACTATTTTTCAGGTTTTTTGAAAAAAAATTTGTCAAATGGCATATTTCACAGTAGTTCTACTTGCTGGAAGTTGTTACCGTAATCCTACACTGAAGAGCGGTCGGTGATTCGCTTAAGTTACTTAAATGGCGAAAAAAGACTCATTGGGAAGAGAGATATGGACGTTTGAAAAGTGTGTACTTACTTTTGGGACACCCTGTATAAGCGCGGGCCTTCGCTAGAAAGCTCATTTTTATGGCGGCCACAACTCAGACAATCGCCGGGGGCAGGCGAGCACCAACAAAAAAAAGATTGCTGATCTCTCGCACCCCGCTCGCAAATTTTTTGGAAAGCAAACAGGACTTTTCGGAAGACCGCTTGCTGAGTTCTTGATTTCTCAGAGATTCAGCAATATATCTGCAAAAGATAAGGCGAAAAAAAATTCAACAGGCGGTCTCTCAAAAATCCGCTCACTCAGCAAGCGATCTTCCGAAAAGTCCTGATTGCTTTGCGAAAAATCCGCGAGCGGGGTGCGAGAAATCAGCAATCTATTTTTCCGGTGCCCGCCTGCCCCCAGCGATTGTCTGAGAAGAAGGACTGCAGAGCAAGTGGAGGAACCGGATATAGGGGCCTGCAGGATCGCGAGAGTCGGACGTGCGTACGGCCATTGCCGCGCACGTCAGAGGTGCGTCCGACGACTCAGGTAAGTGCCAGACTTATCCTGTTGAACAGGTTCATTCGGCTCACCACCTTTACTATTGGACAGTGTAGCGATTTGACCTATGAACCGAACGAACCGGCTGAAGCGGATAAGTCTGACACATGCCTTAGTGACATCTGACGTGCGCGGCGCAATAGCCGTACGCACCTCCGACTTTCGCAATCCTGCAGCCCCCTATAAGAAGTGGTAGCGGCTTCGAAAGCGGAGCTGAGTAGCACGACGTGATGACGGGGCAGAGTCGACTTAAGACGCAGAAGCTGTTGAGCATTTGTGAAGGTGCGAGGAGAGTGGAGTGTGAAAGTTGGTTTTGATTATGTGCTTCAGAGGTGCTAGGAAATCCTGCGTCAACCCTTCCCCCTCTTACTGCAGACGGATCGCGTGGTTTGAGCTAAACATTGCGACGACTTTATTAACTTGGTTATTAAGGCGGACAACCTATAACGCTAGGTTGTGAGAATTCACAATAAAATTGTACATTCGATGAAGCCGTTTTTGATGGAACAATAAATTTACTTTTCGCATCGGATACGAATTAGAAAAAAGAAAAGAGTAAACTTACGAGTGAATTGACTTTTCCACATCAGCTAGATATTCGTTGATCATATACCTTCCGATGCTTGCATCAAGTTGGTCTAACTCGTAGCCTGCTAGTAGAATTCTGCAATTTTGTATCCCAATGATTGAAGTTTGAAGACTTACGAAATTTTATATATAAAGCTGAATGTCTGTTTGTCTGTATGTCTGTCTGTCTGTAAATCTGTATGTCTGTCTGTATGTATTAGGTCGTCCCGAAAGTATTTTCGCTTTTTTCAAAGAATCGCCACGGTCGATGGAACAGCCTTTTTAAGAGATCTTGGAAGCGTTCGATGCAGAATTTCATTCTCTTTCTAAAAAAATGAAATGTTGTGAATTTGTTGCAAAACAATCAATGAGCTTTTAGAAAATAACCAAAATCTGCGACTCATGCTTTTTGAGATGGTCAAGTTTCACGATTTTTTAAAACTTTCGTATCAATCCTCAGAAGGAGTTCAAGTAAGGATTCGATAGAGTAAACCTCATGGAATTCAGTACTTCCTTTTCCTCTTTCTCATAGCTCGCCGTAATTTTTTAAAAGATTTTTTAACAAAGCCACCGGATTTTGGCAGTCCCACCTCAGCCACAATCGCATCAAACATCAGTAGTTACTCGGAAGTTCAAGCTTTCAAGATGATATATGACTTAATATTGAATTTATAAAGGAAATGAGAGTTTGCGGATTCGAAATATCAAATTTCGAGTTTTCCGGGTACAGCCTGGTGCTCCTTAAAAAAATGAATTGTGATGATTTTATCCCCGAAAACTAAACGAATCGGAAACAAAAAATACCCATTAGAAAGAGGAGAAAATGCTGCATCAAATAGCACCCGAGCTGCTCTTCCTTTGATGTTCTACAAGGATTTAGCTGTCCAAGTATGGAAATCGGTAGCACAGTTAAAATTCTGTTAAAAATGTATGACAAGCTAAGGAAAGGAGAAAAAGTAGTACTATGTCTTATAAGGTTTACTCTATCGAATCGCTACTTGAACTCCTTCTGAGGATTGATATGAAAGTTTTGAAAAATCGTGAAACTTGGCCATCTCGAAAAGCATGGGTCACAGATTTTGGTTATTTTCTGAAAGCTCATTGATTGTTTTGCAACAATTCTACAACCGTTAGAAAGAGAATGAAATGCTGCATCGAATGCCTCCAAGATCTCACAAAAAGGTTTGTTCCATCGATTGTGGCAACCGTTTGAAAAAAGCGAAAATATTAGGTCGTTCCGAAAGTAATGTCGCTTTTTTCAAACGTATGCCACACCTCGTGGAACAAAGATATGTAAGAGATTCTGGCAGCATTTAAAGCATCATTTCATTCTCTTTTTGATGGTTATGAAGTTTTTGCAATACAGTCAATGAGCTCCAAGAAAAGAGTCATAATTTGCGACCTATGCTTTTTAAGATGGCCAAGTTTCACAATTTTTCTAAAATTTTATAACAAACCTCAGAAGGAGCTCAAGTAATGGATGGATGGAGAGAACCAAACAGGAAACAGCATAACTTTTTTCTACTTTCCAGAGCTTGTCATAATTTTTGTATAGATTTTTTGATGGAATTATCGAATTTTAGCATTCTCGCCTCAGACACAAATGCATCAAACACCAATAAATCTTCGGATTTTAAAACTTACAAAGATGGATTATGGTTTGGCAACAATTTTGCAAACCAAACGAGCATTCACCGCTTCGGTTTAGCAACTTTCGAAAATTTCGGGTACATCTTGGGGTACCTTGGAAAAGTCGAATTATGATGATTTCATCACGGAAAACTTGACGAATCGGGAACAAAAACAACCGCTAGAAAGAGGAGAAAAAGCTGCATCGAATGACACCCGAGTCGCTTGCCGGTTTTTGTTCTGTGAGGTTTGACTTGACTAAATATGGAATTTGATGGCATTGAGAAATTGATTGTAGAAACTCTGAGAAGCAAGCTAAAGAAAAGAAAAAATTACTCTGTGTTCTATAGTGTTCGCTCTATCTACCTGCCACTTGTACTTTTTCGGAGATTAGGTACAAAAATTTAGAAAAATAGCCGAACTTGATCCTGGCAAAAAGCATGAGTCGCAGATTTTGGTAATTTTTCGAAAGCTCATTAAACATTATGCAGTGAAATTGCAGCCACTAAAAAGAGGATGAAATGCTGCATCGAATGCTCCTAAAATCTTTTGGAAATGTTGATTCCACGAATAGTGGCGTTCATTCGAAAAAAGCGACATTACTTTCGGAACGACCTAGTACTTTCGGGATGACCTAATATGTTCCGAATAGAAAACTCCATTTCTGAACCGAACCAAACCAAACGCACACATACACTTCGGGGCCGGCGGGTGTCATAGGCCCCTTTTTATCATCGGTCAATATCGATTTTTATCGATTTTTTTGCAGAGTTCATCTACGGGGCTGGGATTTGGCACAAGGGGGTAATCGAGCATGCTGATTAAGAATCTGATTACTAACACAACGAGAATAGGGAATTGCGGTAGAAGTAGGCACAGAGAAAGGTTGTACAGGGAAGGAGTGGAACTTCAATATAGCGTTTTTGGCTTCAGATTTCCCTTCTCAATCGCAGCTATTAGAAAACTGTAACAACAAGCCATCGCTATTTATGAAATTTAGCTATGGCTTATCATATTTCGATAAGACATGTTCACACCCACCCAAGGGTCGTTAAAAACGAAAAACTGCCGTCCAAAGAGCACCAAACCGCGTTGCTTAATTTTGTATTACGAAGCGCTTATGCTTGTAATTTCCCACGTTTTTGTGCGAAAAATCGTACGGTACTTAAACTCCTAGAAACCTAAATCTACAAAAAAAAGCATGCTTTGTTTTTTTTTCAATTGTCGGTGGAGACACTCGAATGAAGATAGGAAAACCAAAATAGTACGTTCCGTAGTCAAAATGGTTTTTACTGTGTGTTCTGTGGCCGTTTCATCAATGAACCCTGACGGTAGTTCTTAGTTTTGCGGGTAAGTTCTTACCTGAGAAAGCATAAGACTCGTATTCACGAAGCACAGGGAAGTTTTACCCTCAAGTTTCACCCTTAAGCCTATCCTTGAGGGTAAATCTTACCCCGAAAGTGATTAACCCGTATTCACAAACGTGGCTCATCAGGGTAGATTTAACCCTAGCACAGAGCAAGGCTAAATTCACCCTGACACTTCACACAAGCATAAAATGATCTCTTAATGCCTCACTCAGTCCCAACGATACTGTTTAGACAACAAACACATATTTTTTGATTAATATCATACCAAAGCTCCAAAGTTTTCTTTACGCCTCGTCAATCACAAAATAGAAATTTTTCAGTATTTTGTTGGTCAGTTGTAAGCGTAGCTCGTCGGTAGATCAAATTTTACTGAACGAGTATGTTGGACCACAATTTGAAGAGGGAGTTTCATGTTGAGAAAATTTTTTGAGTTTTTGTGCTTGATTTTCGCCATATCAAAGCCCTTAGACGGCCCTTAGCCCTTGGACATGTGTTTCAACCTACCTAAATCTTTTACTATAACAACTCAGCCGAATATTACCCTCAGGGTAAGGTTCACCCTCAGGGCTCGTTGATGAATACGCCCACTCTACTTTACTATTAGGTTGTCCCATAAGTCTTTTCATTTTTGAGTTTTCGCTGTGATAAGCGTACACTTCTTATTAATAGAATCAGGATGCCATTCAATAGAGCAAAGCAAGCTCTATAAGATGGTGTTTATGCTTTTGCACAAGCTTCGGTTCTTTCAAGTTTTGAACCAAAATCTAAAAAGTTTCGGATGCCCAGAAAACTTTTAAAAATTTTATATCTCCGTTCAAAAAGTCCTATAGATCTCTCACTCGCTCACGCATATACAATCCACATCAGACACTCATATGTGCTGTTGCTGTCTTTTTTTATATGCTAGAAACCGAGAAACCGAAAATTTCCATGTTTTTACCAAGATGATGCTGCGCTCTTCTTATACTAATGGTTGTATACTGCGAGCCCTTAAAAGTACAATTGTAAGTTTTCAGCTCTCTAGAAGATCTGGTTTCCGAGAAATGTTGAGTTAAGCGTGAAAAACCTGAGTGAGGAGAGCTAAATTTGATATTTCTCAGGAACTAGAGCTTATGAGAGCTGAAAATATATATTAGGTTGATTCATAATTAATACACGTTTTTGTCACCTCTATCTGCAAGCGCTGGTATTTCAAAGATACTAAATCTTTCCCAAAAATTTTAATGCTGTCTGAAAGAGCGTTCCTTCTAGTTTCTTGTGTATCCTTTCTTTTTCGTGACACTCTGTATGATACCGAATTCCATGCTTCTGAATATGAGAGACTAAAACGTGAAATTTTTTCCTTTCATTCTTTTTGCTCTAATTTCATGAGAACAAAAGATTTTGATTTCAAAAAAATATGCATAACAATCGCGAAGCTTTCTGCTATAGAAATCTCTATAAAGCTGAATTTTGCAAAAGTTTTGAGATGAGAGATTCAACCACAAACTTGGCCGGTCATTGTGGCCTTTCAAAGTCGTATAAAACTTTGGAACAAGAACCAATGACTGCGATTTTGCTTCGTACATAAAGAATAGACATAGCACATTGAGTGGTAGAAAAACGGTGAAATTTTACAGCTTTGCAATGGCAAAAATTTTGAAAATTCTCAAAAAAGACAATTTTTCGCTCTTCTGAAAAGGCTAGAAAAAATGATAACTTTTGAATTTTTCGCAGTATCTCGTCGTAGAAAAACACCGTAAAATCCGAGTTTTTTGCCACTGCTCTCTTGACCATTGGCTGCGCAATGAGCAAGGTTTGCGCTTTCCTACTACCTTTAAGAGTAAGTTATGCCTTCTCAAAGTAGAGGTTTTCAAAAAAAATTCCTGACATTTTTCGGACTGTACAAATTTTCTCGTCACCTTTATCTAAAAACAAAAGTATGTGTTGTAAAGCCAAAGATTTGCTCTTTGCAATAGTTTTTATTGCTCTTTGAAAGATGATGTGGGAAAAGAATTACGGCGCTTTGAAGATGAATTTTAAAAAACGTGCATTAATTATGAATCAACCTAATATTAGGTTGGTGCAAAAGTAATGCGCGTTTTTCTAGCCCTTGTTT